GACTTCTACTGTACTGCTGTAAAATGGCTTCTACTGTACTGCTGTAAAATGGCTTCTACTGTGCAGCGCAGTGGAGTTGCCATGGTAACGGCTTCACAGTACTCCATAAGGGATCTCCCTCTGTTAAGGGGGAAAATCTAACATTAGAAATTATGTTTGGTCCGGACATTTTCCTCCAAAAAATAAATACCCAGGCAATGCTGGGTTATTGGCTAGTAATAAATAAAATTAACTTTTATTGAAATATCACTTTTTAAAATGAAAAGCTAGTATTTTAGAAAGGCAGGAAAATTCTTTACCAATTCAATATTCTTTGATTTTTTGAGATGCTGAATAACTACTTTGTTCATTCCTTTCTGGATGGCTTTGGAAAGTTTCTTCACTTCCAAATTATTCTGAGATTCACCTATTTAAAAGAAAAAGATCCAAAAAAATTAAATATGCAAGCAATAAAATAAATCTTAAAACAAGAGAAGTATTTATGATTTTTCAAGAAACTAATTTAAACTCAAAGCCCCCCAATGCAGCAGAAATGATTGACTACATACACCTTCCAACAATGCTAAACCGCCACTACCTAGTTCTACAGCAAATTAGGAAGTTGAATTACAGTCCTTTATACCTCATGTTACTCACTCCAAGACTATTCAGTAATACATGAATGGTTAAAACGTCTTCATATTCCTAGATTTACTAATGTAAATAAATAGGATGTATATTTATTATTTTACCTGCTGATGCAGAAGTTTTCAAATAACCATCAAGGCAAGGCACAATGTCTTTGTAATAAGGTTGAATAGTGTATCTGGGAATGTGGGCTGACCAGTCCTCCAGTGCGTCCAGTGCCACATCAGCCATTGGAGTGTAGCTAAGACCCAGTTTAAAAGCATTCTGTAGGTTGTGCATAATGACAAGGAGTTATAAGAAGTTGGAGATACAAAACATCTACATTATCCTGAAGCTATCTTTGACCATTCAATGGACTATTTTCTTAACTATTGCTACAAATATTTAAAATGTTAAGGTTGTTAAAGAAACTTGCTTCTGGAATAAGTTACAATTAAACTTCAGAATCAAATAGACATGACAAAACTACATCACATGTAACAGACATATGAATTTATCATTTACATTTTGGACTTTCTCACTGATTTGCTCACTGTTGTGATGGTAATATGCAGTCCTGCCTGCATATTATAGCAATGGCACTTAGACTTATATACTGCTTCACAGTGCTATACAGCCCTCTCTAAATGGGTTACAGTGTCAGCACATTGCCCCCAACAATCTGGGTCCTCATTTACCGACCTTGGAAGGCTGGAAGGTTGAGTGAACCTTGAGCCTGGTGAGATTCAATCTGCCAAACTGCAGTCAGCAGGCAGTCAGCAGAAATAGCCTGCAGTACTATTTTCTAACCACTGAGCCACCACGGCTCATATTACTGAAGCATCATGAAAATATATTTTGTATAAGTAAAATGAAGGAAAGAATACCAGCTAAATTACAAAAATAAAAATTCTGCATTATTCGATCACTGCATTAACCCACCTGTAAAGCAGGAATGTATGCTTTGATATCAAGCATAATGATGTTATATGGCAGAGAAAGCACAAAAGTCAGACAAGATGCCAATAATTCATCTTTGTACTGCTTCATTTTTGCAGTTACCTGAAGTAAGAAATTTTTAATGGAAATAACAGATGTTACCTGAACAAATGAATAAATGTAAAAAATAATTCATTGTACTTAAAAAAGCATCAATATTCTTTTAAAATAAGCCCACAAAAGTGTGCTTTTAACTAAAATCAACAGGTCATGCATTTAAAGTAAGAACAAATATAAATGAAAAGATGATAAGGTAGAATTCTTTGGCTTTTGCATCACTGCAAATGCTACTAGCACAGTTCAAAGAATAATATAAATAACCTCTTTTCCAAATTTGGAAAATAATGCAAAACAGGAACACTTCTCTGGGTCTTCAGGACATTTTTTCGTACTCTCTGGACTGACATCCTGACAAAAGACAAAATAGGATTAACTGTACAGATTTTATTAATCTTGTGTTTCATTTTTTAAAAGAACCTTTTGGATAATGTAAAAATGTTAGGCAATTCCATGTACCAAACAAAAGTAAGTTTCAAAGATTACTACAATATCCTTATATATAATTTCCTTTGAAGACTGTTTGGAATTTGGATTTGATTTAGAATACAATTGTTTTTGCTAATTTTTAAATGAATTACACTGGCCAATGATTTCTTTCTGTGCATAAGTGAAATACTAACACCCTAAGAAAACATATAGGAAGTATATCAAAAGTCCCATTTGCTCGCATATACAGTGGTACCTTCAAGTCTCTGAAAAACATATAAGACAGATGAAGATTGAGTAGGGCTTCAGTGAAAAGCAAGGTCTTCTCAATTTTGATGTCTTTTCTATAAGGAAGTATTTGTCAATTTCAGCAGGCTTGAATTTTAATTTTTTTAAGTTTAAGCTATAAGTTTTTCAGGCTGAGAAATATGTTGTAAGGCACCTGTACTACAAGCTGTGCACACAATAGCTACCTCAAGGATTTTCACATCTCAATTAAAAATACTATATATTTAAGCCCACCACTGAGTAAAAGAATTTTAATATGACACATTGACATGCACAGCTCCTTTTCTGATGTATGTATGTATGTATGTATGTATGTATGTATGTATGTATGTATGTATTTAAAATGGTTTATTCACAGTTCACCACCAACTCTGAACAGTGTACAATCACCTTTGGTTACTTGATGTTTAAATAAAATGCAATCAACAAACCAAGGCCAGAAAATCACAATATAAGGTCCTGGGAGTAGTTGAAATCCGTGACCCGACAAAAGCGCGCTCAACTAAAGCGCGCTGACAAAACTGCAGCGACAAAACCATGTCATCAACGCGCCCACAACAGCGCGCCAACAGAAGCGCAATTTAAGGTAAGGTAAGGGTTAGCTTCAAGGTTAATTTTAGAGTTAGGTTTAGGGTTAGGTTTAGGTTTACAGTGCGCTTCTGTCGGTGCGCTGTTGGCGCGCTTCATAGCTTAGAACTCGCAGTTTTGTCACCGCGGTTTAGTTGGGTGCGCTTTTGTCGGTTGCCCTTTTGTCGGTGAACCGTTGAAATCTATCTCCTAATTAAAGCTGTTTCCAATACGCTCACTCAGCATTTAGCGACTACGTTGATTAGTAACCATGCAGTAACATGATGGTAATAAACAATAATTTAAAAAATCATTTTCTGACCAATGTTGCATTTATAACAAAATTTCATGTGCTTGCAAGAAAAGCCTTCAGCATGAAACTGGTTAAGGTTTGGTCAGTTTAAAGCAGCCAGCTAATCAACTGATTATTAAGCTTATTAACTTGAGATTAACACTTTTCAAGGAAATGTTTTGCTATGGAGAAAAGCAGCTCAGGAAGAACCTTCTTGTTCACTTACAATCTTTTTACTTAATGTCCAAAATGTTGGAATGAAATGTTGTCATCAAGCAAGGAGGGGTTATAATGCTGTGTTTTAATTTTATTGCTTTGCGATATAATAACTTCTTCAGAAAATGAAAATAATGGAGTATGCTTTTAAATAACTATTTATTCCCTGCGTCATTATTTTTAAATAACTTAAGGCAGAAAACATATCCAACACCTTCCTCCTCCTATTTTCCCCTGGAATATTATAAAAATCCAGATGATACTTCTCATTTGTATGCAAATATTTGTAAAAACCCAATTAGAGATTATGCATCAATCATCAGAATTGCTCCTAATCTCCATCAGTCTGAACCATGACCAGCTCCAGCATCTAAAATGTTTACAATTTATTTCAAACTTGTAATTAATGTCAAATTCTGATTAGGAGAAAACCTACAATTATAACTAATGTGATAAAGAAATAATATGAACCATAGGTTCAGTGAGAGAAAAGAGAAGAACTTGGGAGTAGAAAAATGGCTCAATACTACCTTTCTCTTATAAAAATGAAGTAATCACAATTATATCTAAAATATGAGATTGAGATTTATTAGATTTATATGCCGCCCTTCTCCCAAGGACTCAGGGCGGCGTACAACAAATAGGAAGGTGTGAACAGACTAATACAACTTCAGTGATCCTTTGAACACCCCCCCCCCCCAAAAAATGGCTGCAATGGCTTACTCACCGCAAAATATTTAGTCTTCTTTGCAATTTTCATCGCAATGGAAAGCAGCTTATAAAATCCACTAATAAAAGATAAATGTGTGGCCTGTAAAATCAGTTCATAGCCAAATGAATAAATCCATGGTTCAAAATATTTAATATGCTTGTCTGGGAGGATCTCTCTGCATAAGTTTGGAAAGAAGAACAAAAACAAGTGGACTAGAAAGTCAGATGAGAATCTGAAAATTGGTCAGATGAGCAATACCAATGATCAATGAAAACAATTCTCAATAAGCACCTACCTAGGATGTCCCAATCAACCAAAGAGTCAAACACAAGTATTTCAACTACTTTAAAAAATCCTAAATAAATAAATGGAACATTTGTGAAGTGTTGTCAGGATATGTCTTTTTAGTAAGAATGACAAAAACACAGTATGTTAAATGATGCATCTCCCACATAATGCTGCTTTTTTAGTCCTATTATACCTGCAAAATTCCACTAAGTTAATGAAGGCTGAATAGTCTTTAGGCTTAGATGGCTGAAGGTTTGCAGCTGGATCAGAGGTAGGAATTGTCAGATGGGCATCCCCTTCACTTCCATCCTGAAAAAAAGAGTATCAGAAGCAGTTAACTGATTTTCAAGTTTGCCAAAATGTCTATTATAAAATTCTTGCAAACTTCTCAAATAAGAACTAAAACCCAATAAGGGAACTTGAAAATAATAATATAGGTGGGGGAAAGACTGAATAATTCTATATTAATGTTTATTTTTTAAAAGCAAGTCCTACCTTCTCTTCCTTAATATTCTGTTTCTGAACAGTAAGATCCAGTTTACCAATTATTTTTATGACAGATTTAATGAGTTCATCATATAACAGATGATTTAGAGACTGTAGTGGTGAATTTTCAGTTAAACAGGCTTCATCTGCCAACAGCATGTCCTTTAATAGAGAAAGAAAAATAAATTTCTTCTATTGCACACTATATTGAGTTTTTGTAAATTTATCAGGAAAATGCAGATATTTTAAAGTAAGTGATATGTATATAGAAATCCCAAACATAGGAGCTCTACAACTCTTTTTTGGTCAAATGTATTTATGGCATTATATTTCAATGTTTGTTTACAACAAGAAAGGTTTAACTCCAGTGCCATTTGTGGAGAGGCCACAAATGGAGAGGCCATTTGTGTTCATGCCCAGCTATTTGATTGTAACATCTATATGAGACCTCGAAATATGGAACTGGACATGAAGAAAAAGAAAACTTTGAACAACTATAACCTCATAAGATGAAGGTGAAAGAAAGAGTGCACAAGGAGACAAAACTATTTATAGTTTTTTTCCAGGAGAAATTGCATGATGGATTGTAACAATGAATTATTATTCTTAACCTTGGTAAAAATGTTCTTTACCTTCATTGTATCGCAACTAAGTAAGGTTCTAAAGAGATCCAGGTAATCCTTATATGTAGGCACTTTCCATTTCCCAGTCCTTACTTCTCCAGATGAATTTGATTCTTCTGATGTGGAAATATTCTTCCCCAAAAAATCCTGAAAGACATTGCAATGTTGAAGTAACTAGGAGTAAAATTATGTAGTTTTCAATACTTAATCTTAGACTCCATGATAATAAATAAGCAGGAACATTTTGCCAAGACATACTGAAATATTCTTCGAAATGCCTTCATCTCTAATTTGTACAATACAAATTAACTGAAAAGTGCTGAATGGTTCCTAATAAATCTGCTGGGATTCCTATTTGTATTGCTTGCAATAGAGATCATGAGGTTTGCATTAACATACAGGCAAATGAAAATTAAAAAATGATATAAATAGTCCTTGAGTTATGATCATTTGTTCAGTGGTACTTAAGTCTGGTCCCCAAAGTTATGGCCACTGCAGTACCCCCATGGTCATATGATCAACATTTGGGGATTTGCAGCCTATCAACAATTACATTTATAGGGGTGCTTTTACTTCCCTATTCACCTATCTCTAGCTCCTTCTTTGCCCCTTTGGCCGCTCTATACAGTGGCACTCCTCAGTGACAGTATTGGGTTGAACTACACTAAAAAAATATGGGGGTCTCTTCTAAGCCTCTTACCCCACCAGTTATCCAGTTGTGGACTATGCTGTCTCTTATTAGATTATTCCTAGGAGGTGTCTCTGGAACCAGTCTCCCAAAGTCATTCCTCTATACCAGTACACCACATTCTAAATTTTCTGGTAAGGGAGAACATGGTTGAAATTTATAATTGGATAATTGCCACTAAATTGCACATAAGTACTTTTCCAATTCTATAGATACACATTTAATTCCACAAAACTCCAGTAAACTTACCATTGAAAAGACCAGTGGTTTTGAACAAATTCTGATTAAACCCTGATGCACTGAAAATGAAGACAGCTTGTTTTAATTTAATATTTCAATAAGCTGGCCTCAAATAATAGCAATAGCACTTAGACTTATATACTGCTTTACAGCCCTCTCTAAGCGATTTACAGAGTCAGCATGTTGCCCTCAATAATCTGGGTCCTCATTTTACTGACCTCGGAAGAATGGAAGGCTGAGTCACCCTTGAGCCTGATGAGATTTGAACTGCCAAATTGCAGTCAGCCGGCAGGCAGCAGAAGTTGCTTGCACTACTACACTTCAAGGACTGCGCCATCATAGCTCATACTGCCAATGTCCTAATATAGGGGTTTCAAAACTCGAGGCCCGCAGGGTGCTTAGATCTGATCCATGGGGCCACCCTAGAAACAGTAAGGGACTGCCCCTGGGGTGCCTCTGGCAGCAAAAACATAGCTCGGGAGGGCTGCCCTCCCAAGCTCCATTTTTGCTGGCCGAGGATTGCAGCAGGTCGTCGCAGCTGAAAACGGAGCTTGGGAGCCTGTTTTCTCTGGTAGAGTGCTTGGGCCCCCACAGGCACTCCCGACACGAGTGACATCAAGCTGGCCACACCCACCCTGGCCATGCCCACTCCAGCTCCCTGAGGTCAAACACAACCCTGATGTGGCACTTAATGAAATCGAGTTTGATACCCCTGCCCTAATGCAACAAAAACTCTGTTCCATTACAGAGGGGAGACTGGTATTGCAACGATCAATCTGCTCTCTGGGGCCTAAATATGAACCCAATTTTATGTCAGACATTTGCAACAGTTAATCTTTGACTTATGACCACAATTGGGACCTGAATTCGATGGCTAGGCAATGCAGTCATTAAGTAAATGCAAGCCAGTTGTCAAATGCCCAAATTACAATCATGTGATCATGGGAGTGGTGCAAGAATAGTAACTTCAAGGATGGAATGCAAGCCATTTTGTCATGGCCATAGTAACTTTCAGCTGTTGTTATACCAATGGTCATAAGTTGAAGACTACCTGTACTCACAATTAAGTTTTACAATGACAACTTTCCACTAAACTCAAAGAAAATGAAAAAACTTCTAGAAACTCTCTCCTTTTCACATTGAAAATGGTATCTTAAAATGGTCCAGTTGTTAACTGAACAAGATTGGTGCAAAAGTTAAATAGCAATTATCGGGAAACGCTATCACTACTGCTTCCTTAAATTTATAATATTATTCAACCTAAATTCATACTGAAGTCAAAGGAACAATACATGTTTGTACACTATAGAGCACTCACCGACAGTGCTCATAAAACTCCACAGTACCGGGCCTTTTGCTGCCAAAGCCAAAAATACTTTCACAATAGACCAACAACATGCTGTTTGCATCTTGGCACTATATTGCGGGAAGTTATCTATTTGAACTATCATAAGACGTTCAAGAACTGGAGTGTATATCTCTGGAATCTAGAAGAACAAGAGGAGATATCAAACAAAAGCAGATGCTTGTTTTCAAAAATGTCTAAAATCTGTTGTATTTTTCACATATCCCACAAAGAAAATTATACCAGCATCTTCATCAATAGAGGTCCATATATTTCCTGAACATACAAATAGCTTTACAAATTAGGTTTATACTGCTTACTTACAGTGTCCAAGTGGAATATAACACTTGCAATGGATTGAAGAAAGCTTGGGAGCTGATACACATGATCATCAATTGTTTCTGCCTCAGTTAGATACATTTGCTTACAGCGCTGAAGGAGTTCCACATACATGACATCAACTTCCTTTGGACTGATAACTTTACAAGGCTTTTAAGTGGAGAAAATACAAAAAAATATTATATAAGGTCAGGAATATGCAAAATACATCAATTTTCAATTTGAAAAAGAGGGAAAATCTTAGTTAGAAATCCTCTTCAATGTTCCTAAAGTCTGTATTCACATCAAGCAGAATTTTACTTGCAGTATAGCATAGGAATTAACAAGATTTCTATATGGGATAAAGAAATCTTTGGTTGGAATATTAAAGGTGTTAAATTATTGAAAATGATTGTATTTGTCTTGCTGAAGATGGAAGTCATTTATTTTTATATTTTTGTTTCACTCTTCTTTTTAATATATTTTTCCCTTTTTGCCTTCTCTTCCTTCCCTTTTTTCTTTTTCTCTTTGCATTTTTAATCTTTTTAAATATTTTTCTTAGTATATATTGAGTTTTTTATCTTTGTATTTTTAAATTTCAGTAAA